TTCAATTAACTTTCTACATTCTAAAAAATAATATCTTGTGGATATATGTATATTGGTTTATAATGTTACCTTAATTATAATGTTATCTGTATTTCGATACCGGTCTAATTTCATAATTGCTTTTATTAAATTTCGTTTATTTTGTTTAAAATTGTAATTTGCACTATGTTGATAAAATAGATAAATAAAAAATGCGTTGACAATTTAAATTTCATAAAATATCCACAGAAAATAATTGGTGTGATTCATTGTTAGTGAATACACAAGATATCTTTATAAGAATTATGTTTTATTATTTTTTTCAACATTTTCATATGCCTCTCATACAATTTAATGACTTACCTTTAAACTCTTACCTATCATCAATTGAAATCTGAAAATATTAAACACAAAACCTGGTAAAAAATTTGTACTCCAAATAAATAATTTCTATAATTTTTGCTAAATTAATTAGAAATGTATTAGGTATCCATAATAATCATTATATTATTTTATTTATTTTTAATTAATTTACAAAACTATTAGGTCAAAATTTAAAAAAAATGCCGAAGTATCCCCAATATTTCCCAGGAAAAATTGTTTTATTTACACAAATTGTTCCATAAGGCATTATTTAAGCCTGTTTTCATTCCAATTTGGAGTTAATTAAAAAAAATTAATACACCCGGTATGTTTGGTTCTTCAAGAATCTAAAGTTGTTCCATTTGCGACTATTCTAGAAATAATTAAATTAGAATTGTAACTCCTGTTGAAATATTAATTTTTAATTAATGGCAAAGAAATTTAAAGAACCGACATAACAGAATAACTAGTCCCTAGTTTAATTACAATAAAAATTTTGAACATCTGTTTTTTAAATACATAACTTCAACATTTTCTCATTTATATGTTATTGGATGTTATTTTAGGCGGATTGTCGTTCTATGGATCTTCAGGTACGTCATTCAAATTCATTTGAAAAAGACTCAAAATTAAATAATAATTATTCATTCTCTAAAATATTTAATTGCATTCTTAATTATAAAATATTACAGAACCAAATGATGACATACCAGGAATAGGGCAATATGAAGATTTTCACACGATAGATTGGCAGCGTGATATCGCAAGGGATCGTATGCGTCATAGATACATTGTAAAGAAACGCCAAGATTCTCTGTGGGATTTAGTCAAGGGTGCGCATGATGCTTGGTCGGGTTGGTTGTGTGTTTTGTTGGTTGGTATAGCGGCGGGTTGTGTAGCTGGTATGGTCGATATCGGAGCAAGTTGGATGTCCGATTTGAAACATGGCATATGTCCACAAGCTTTCTGGTTCAATCGAGAGCAATGTTGTTGGCCTACAAAACAATCAGTTTTCGAAGAGGGCAATTGTTCAACGGTAAAATTAACTTTGACATTTGCTTTGGAGTAGTATGATTTTGATTTATGTTTACTTTTAATATCTTTAGTGGAAAACATGGCCAGAAGTGTTTGGCCTAAGCCGAGAAGGCACAGGAGCTTATATTATCTCGTACATTTGGTTTATACTTTGGGCGTTATTGTTTGCTGCACTCAGTGCATCATTGGTGCGTATGTTCGCACCGTATGCATGTGGTTCTGGTATTCCAGAAATCAAAACAATTCTCTCGGGTTTCATTATACGAGGCTATTTGGGTAAATGGACGTTGCTAATCAAATCAGTAGGTTTGATGCTCTCTGTTTCGGCGGGTTTAACATTGGGCAAGGAAGGTCCTATGGTTCATATAGCAAGTTGTATTGGCAATATTTTCTCACATCTATTTCCAAAATATGGTCGTAATGAAGCTAAGAAACGTGAAATATTGTCAGCAGCAGCGGCAGCTGGTGTGTCCGTAGCTTTTGGGGCACCAATCGGTGGCGTTTTGTTCTCATTGGAGGAGGTTTCATACTATTTTCCACTGAAGACATTGTGGCGTTCATTTTTTTGCGCTCTGATAGCTGCTTTCGTTCTTCGTTCTCTCACGCCATTTGGCAATGAACATTCAGTGCTTTTCTTTGTCGAATACAATCAGCCTTGGATATTCTTCGAATTGATTCCATTTGTCTTTTTGGGTATAATGGGGGTAAGTCAATAGAAAGTTTAAATGTACCGAGTACATAAGTGTATTAATATGGAGAATTAATTATTTATTACAGGGCATAATTGGAACGTTATTTATTAAAGCGAATTTGTGGTGGTGTCGCTTTAGAAAATTCAGCAAATTAGGTCAATACCCTGTAACAGAAGTTTTGGTTGTTACTTTAATAACTGGAATAATTTGCTACCCCAACCCATTTACACGCATGAATATGAATGAGTTGATCTATTTGTTGTTTAGTCAATGTTCACCAGGAGACGTTTCGAATCCATTATGGTATAACAAGTCTTTATTGTTTTTTATTATTTTCTCAAATTACATTTCACTTCTAGTGATTATACGCGCATGAATATAACAAATGCATCATCCTCAATAGAAGTAACACAACTGGGGCCTGGGGTGTACCGAGCTATTGGTTTATTGGTTCTGGCCTTTTTCTTAAAATTGGCTTTGACTGTATTTACCTTTGGTATGAAAGTTCCAGCCGGCCTGTTTATACCATCTCTGTTATTGGGAGCAATTATGGGAAGAATTGTGGGTATTGGTATGTAATTTGCTAAATGTTATTTTGTTTTTATTACTTAAATAAACCATACTTCGTTTTTTAGCCGTTGAACAATTCGCTTATAGTTATCCAAATGTTTGGTTCTTTACTGGGGAATGTGTAACGGGAAACAATCTCATAACGCCTGGTCTGTATGCTATGGTTGGAGCGGCAGCTTGTTTAGGAGGTGTAACACGGATGACAGTGTCTCTTGTGGTAATAATGTTTGAATTGACAGGTGGAGTTGGCTATATTGTACCATTGATGGCAGCTGCTATGGCTTCTAAATGGGTTGGTGATGCTCTAGGCAGACAGGTATATAATAATAAAATTTTACTCTTTTCAGTCCATTTTATTAATTAGTAAATTTATTTCTATTTTTAGGGTATTTATGATGCACATATTGCATTAAATGGTTATCCTTTCCTTGACAGTAAGGAAGAATTTGCACATACAACTCTAGCCGCAGATGTTATGCAACCGAAGTAATTATATTATATCTTTTTTGTTATTTTTATTTACATAAGTTTGAGAATTAAAATCGTTAGACGTTTTTTTAAAACTTTCTAATACAATTTTTTGTTCACTTTCAGACGCAATGAAACATTGAATGTTATAACACAAGATTCCATGACGGTGGATGATATAGAAACATTGCTCAAAGAAACAGAACATAATGGTTATCCTGTAGTTGTTTCTAGAGAGAATCAATATCTCGTTGGCTTCGTATTACGCAGAGATTTAAATTTGGCTTTAGGTAAGTTGACCCTCCAGTTTGTGAAGAAAAATCTAAAAAAAACTATAAATTTTTTGCAGGTAATGCAAAACGTTTTATTGAAGGCATAAATGGCCAATCCATAGTATTATTTACATCAACTGCACCTGTGCAAAATCTAGGGCCTCCACCGCTTAAGCTGAAAAAGATATTGGACATGGCTCCCATTACTGTAACAGATCAAACGCCTATGGAAACTGTTGTCGATATGTTCCGTAAATTAGGTTTGAGACAAACTCTTGTAACTCATAATGGGTAAGTTGCTTTGTTTTTCTATTAACATCAGCATATGTGTAAACAATATTACTTAACATTTGTACAGGCGTTTGTTGGGCGTCATAACAAAGAAGGATGTACTGAGGCATGTCAAACAGATGGATAACGAAGATCCCAACACAGTTTTATTCAACTAAATGAAATCTTATTGTAAACCAATTTAAACCCAAAACGGATGTGGTTTATTAAAAATGAAAAAGAATTTCTAGATTTAATATCATAATGTAAAATCGCCCTCTTCGGTTTATCATCAAGAAAAACATAACAAAACGAAAATATCAATCATATCGTTATGAAAACAAATTTTAATGCTCCAAGATGGTACGATTGCTGTACATTATTGACAAATTGATTGAATTGATGGTTGCAAACTGAGCTTAGTTTCATCGGTACATAAATAATTGTTTGATTTTTATTTCTTTCTTTTTTTATTTTGCATAAAATTGTGGTTTATACAAAATGTTATACACTTTAGTAATTTATGTAATTAGTATATATTTAATTGTATTAATATTAATATAAATGATAACGAAAATGAGTATGATGATGATGATTATAAGAAAATGATGTATAGAGAGAAAAGTAGAAAATTCCAATCCAAATTATATTCACATTAAAATATTTTACATTAAAAAAACATCACTGTATATTTATTATAAATTTAATTTTCTAAATGATGACTTTGTTCATTTTAACATTTTAGTTTTGTTCTTATGCGATAAAATTTAAACATTAAGGCTGCTTTTTTAAAACGAACGAAATACTGGACAAGAAATGTTGTTATACTTTTCGTAAGTGTTATTAAAGTTGGCCCTTAATACTAGTAAAATGCCTAATAATACAATCTACAAAAACCTATTTATATTTTATATCTAAATATTTGTGTAAAACATAATAAGAAATTAGATAAAAATATTTGGTACGTAAATTTAGGTACTTTTGTCAATTCATGTCCAAGATTTAGATTATTAGGTGTTATACTATTATTATACAAACATACTAAATATACATACATATATACCCTTAACCAATAAAATATTTATTTTAAAACCAAACGTCGAATGATCTGATGATTGATTTATTGAATGATAATTGTGTGTGTATTCCATAGTAAATTATACTTTTATATGTTACTTATTATTTCTTTTTTTTGTATGTCTTAATAACAAGAATAAAATAAATAAAAAGTATATTATATATATCATATATGTACCAAAGACTCAGCTTTTTGAAAGGCGACTTTATAAGGTAAAGTTACGAGCACATCTGGTTCCTTCTAAATTTTCACGCTAAACTTTCAGATTTTCTAGGATTTAAAATGAAAAATTGTAATCATAATTATTTTTTAATCAAAAGATTTTCAATGGTTAGAGTTTATATTTTTAAAACTTCAACTACAAAACTAAATCGTTTCCGTACTCAAATTATCAATATGTTTTCTTGTTTTTGTAATTAATTCTGACAAAAACCTGTAAAACTTCAGTTTTCTACTGAAAATATTTGAAACTCATTTTCGTATAGTCCAGTTATTAGCCAACATCTGAAATAAAAAATAGCATAAAATAATTAATATTCCGATTTTTTTACTAATCGCTTTCTTACCCATTGTCACTTGACTTGATAAAATTGCCTTTGCCTTTTAATGCTCCCTTCACAGTATTTTGTAAACCATTAAATAAACTAAAAAATTGTTTTCAAAAATGTATAATCAGTAAGTTTTTTTCTTATACTCATAAAAATTCACCTATAACACTCCAGAGAACCATCTTCGCCAGGAGAATAAATGAAACTTCCGTCGCGTGAACAAGCTATGGTACTTGTAAATGGTAAAGGTATTTGTGTAACTGTTGTTTCAGTATCCTTTCGAATATAAAATGTAGTAAGTTAAGAAAAAAATTATGAATATTTTAAAAATTACAAACGTAAGTTTCTATTGAGCTGTGTGGCAATACTGCAAAGTTTAAACTAGCACTCAAAAGCAAAAAAAAAGATTAACATTCAATTCATTTTTAGATCATTTAGGGCCAATCTTTAGGTGAAAGATTAGCGATTAAATTAAAATTAATCCTCGAAAGTTGTCTTTGAGTACTCAATTAGTTAATTTTGTTTGCAAGTTTAAGCGCCCAATGGAGGTGGTTTAACTTAAGCATGAAATGCAAAAGTTTAAACAGCTGATGCAAAAAAAATAATACAATTTTTATAAATATAAACATTAAAATGTTCTATTTATTGATTAGTATAAATTATGGACACTTCAAAATACATTTTTTGGTTTTTAATTTAAATTTTCATTAATTTTCATATTAAATTTACAATTGTCTTCTTCTTTTTGATAACAAACAGTGACATTTTCTGTTGTTTTGTATGACAACACTGCGAAGTTTAATCTTGTACTCAAAAACATCAAAGGAGATTAACATGAGATTAAACTTATGATTAGATTAACTAATCTGATTATTAATTGGCATTTGATTGCCAACTCAAAAACCCGCTCTTAATATTCAAGTAAAAAATCCGAATTCATTGACCCAAAAGAAATTTTGTAAGATTAATTTTAATTTAGTCACTCATCGCTAACCTGTAACTGTCACTTAATGTTAAGTTAAACTTGCAGTTCGATTGAACGCGAAGTTTCCAGCCCAAAATAATATTCACAATAATAATAGTAACATTGAAAGGAATCAAAAACTTTTTCTTGTTTTGATGGCTAATTTTACTTTTTAGCACAATTTTTAACTGTTCTTTAGTTTATCTGGCCAATAACATTAAGTTAAACCTAGATTATTAACAAAATAAATAATAATTGAAAAACATAAATAAAGAAAGTATACAAACTTTACCCAATAATGCTATGTATGATGTTTATTTATACTTACATCTTTCACATTCCGTAAATCGTGAAAATAAACTTGACCACTTAAGTCACAACTTATCACAATTATATGTCCATTAATGTGGGATTTTAAAAGTGTTGATGTCATAAATAAATGCTTTTTTAGAGACACAATTTCCAAATGACGTTTTATAGTGGACAAACTCGAACACGTACAATAGAACACGGAACCATCTTTGGTCCCAACCACAAAATTATTTAAACTTAGAGCAAGTAATGTACATATTTCGGTCGACGCATTTGCAGGTGCCTTGACTAAATATCTAAATAAAAGAATTATATTAACTTAATATAATTTGATATTAACATACATATAAGTTGCATAAATTTGAGCAACACTGTTTTTTAAATAGAAACAGAAAATATCACAATTTTTTGTTAAAATAATGGATGATTTACAGAAAATATTTATATATAACTTGGAAATGTAAATTAGGCCCATCCAAACAAAATCGATATTTGAATGTAATGTACATGTGTGTCTACTTACTCTGCCTCCTTAATTATTTCTTTACCAAGATGCCACTGTACAACATATCCATTTGAATGAGCTGTTAATAAGGTATTTTCGCTGATCCAGTCTAATGCTACTGCGAAACCATAGAGTAAAGTCGTATGGTACATTTCATTGATATCAATATTATTTCTATTGTTGGGGTGATTTTGATAATGTTGCTCATATCGCCAGATATAAATGTCACCGTCGAAAGAGGAACCGGCAAAAATATTTTTATTGAAGGGATTTGTACACAAACTTTTTAGACAGGATTTAATCGGGATACTTTTAACTTCATTGTACGTCACAAAGTTAGCGTTTGGAACTCGTTTAGGTACAAAAAGCTTTAAATATTGATCAACATGTTCACACCAGTCATCATGAGGTGCAACTGTTGTGACAACCAGGACAGGGGCATTGTTAGTATATACTGACAACCAAATAGCAAGGCCTTGAGAATTTTGCAGTGTTGGCAATGAGATTTTTTGGTATGGTTGTATTTCTATGTCATGTGAGGATAAATCATTTGTTTGGGATTCCAGTGCGGGTGTACAACCCTTAAGCAATTCCTTCTCAACATTTGGATAGATTTTTTGTAACCAATTAGCTAATTTTCTTTCATCTACACTTTTAGCTAATGCTTGGTACGTTTCTGTTTGCGTTTCTTGTGAACATTTTGTTTGAGTTTCTACGGACGCATCAATTTTTGGTGGCAATGGATCTGTAGCTGTACTGCTATCGATTAGTTTGAATTGCCTATCTGTGCTATGTGAAGCTTTAAATTCTACAACCGGCGAAGTATAGTCTGATAATTCATCCATATTATTTTATAGAATTGAACAAACTATTTTATACTTTTTTATCGCAATGAAAATCCATATATATTCGCTGTTGCTATAGAAACACATACATTCATATGCACTATATAAAGCAAAAACTTTTCAACCCCTTAAAAATAACGAACTTATTTTAAATTTTAGTAACCACAAAAAGGCAATCCTTTATTTAAAATACCGACTTTTATGAATAAACTGATATTATTCATAATAGTATATTCTAGTTTGAAACTTTGCAAAATCAGTCTAACAGAAAAATTGGTTGGATACCAAATATGTATAACCAATATTTTTTGGACCCAAATATACATACATATATATGAAAATGCTAACCTTACTCAGCAAATAAATGTTGAAGTTGTTCAAGAAGAAGAAATATGGCTGAGTGCTTAACGGATTTAAAAATATATTGGGTATTTTTATACTGAATGAATTTTAATTTAATTCGAAATAAGTTATAAATGTTTTATTTTGCCTTCACTTATGACAATTTTATTAGAATTTAGGCATGTATTTAAAAGACATTAAATTGAATACGTTCTAAAGAAATCATGAGATATCCCTTCTTTTTGAACAACTTCAATAATAACCAGGGAAACCAAATATCTCCTCTAAAAAGTGTTTTATGCTCATTAAAGATACAGTAAATAATGAAAAATATGCTCTTAAAATTTATAAAATAAGCGCTAAACATAAAAGTTTTAATGATTTTTTAATATTGAAAAGCTCAAAAAGGATAAAAATTGTGTACTGAATTAAACAATATTTTATGTGTCATTATGTAAACTAAACTTTTAAAAAATTGACCCCCCTTTTTTTAATGTCTAATTGATAGTTTTAATACAAAAGGTATTTTAACCGGCAGTTAAACGATAACTGGAAGTTTTTTGTTATACATAGTTTAACCCCATGATACAACCATTTCCAGGTAGAATCAGTAGAGAGTGTTGTCAATTTTCTACCTTCTGAACTGAAAAGAGAAAAATATCCAACTAAAAAACCACGATTCTTGAACGGCACACGGTAATCAGCATTCCACACTTTGTGTCCTGTTTTCGATTTTTATTGGCGTTGCAATCTTTTTTATTCAAATTATTTAAATTAACTTTCTTCAGAGAAAAAATTTTCAATAATTTATATTTGATGTTTTATTTTATATTTTTTAATTTTCTTTATGGTGACAATTAAAGGCATGTAAAATTGAGAACGTACTTTTCTACTGATTCTACCTTATTATAGTTATATTATGTTATTAACCAAAAACTGACTATTCTATGCCGAAAACATAGCACTCGTAAAAATATATGTATGCATTACAAAATTTGTCTGAATTTCAAAAATTAACAAAACTTAATTTATCAAAAATGAATGTTTTAAATAAATTTAATAAATTCTCAAAAATTTTCCTGGGTAAGTATGTGCGAAGAGATTTTTAAACATGTCTATATTTAATTGTTTCTATTCCAATTAATAGCCTTGCGAAATGTTGCAAATCAGAATACTACGTGTTTTCCCCAAGTAAGCTCTATAAATTGTTGTCACTTTTACCACAAATTTTCGGCTGTTTACTCGAAGAAAGAAGATGGTAAACATAATTCAATATTGGTGTACTTATCATTTATTCTAAAACTTTTCACGATCTGTTAATGTTTAATTAATTTATAGATACTACTACTGATGTAGATTATTGTGAACCTGAACAAATTTGTGAAAATGAAGCGCCGAAACCTTCAAAGACCGATAAAATAGGTAGCACCACCACAGCAGTTGATAAAACTCTTTCTAAAGTTGGGCGTATACATGCTGTTATTGGCCCCGTTGTTGATGTAATTTTTGACGATGAAAATATACCAGACATTATGAATGCCATGGAGGTTTCAGACTATAAAGCCGGCCCAAGATTAGTTTTAGAGGTTTGCTATTGAAATATATATTTGCGATAAAAAGCTTATACAAAAATTTCAAATTAAATTTTTTTTCATATTAACAATTAAACCATAATCTGAATTCTTTACCTTTTATAATTAATACTCCATTAGGTGTTTCATCATTTGAGCAATAATACTGTGCGTTCAGTTGCTATGGATAGTACCGAAGGTTTACAAAGGGGTCAAAAAGTTACCGACACTGGACATCCTATACGTGTCCCCGTTGGGCGAGCCACTCTTGGCCGTATTATTAATGTTGTTGGTGATCCCATAGATGAACGAGGTCCAATTAATTCTGAATTTCATTCGTTTATTCATGCTGATGCTCCTGCAATGACTGAATTAAATGTAAATCCTGTTTTACTGGAAACAGGCATTAAGGTAATATTTTCCATACTTTACATTTCAATAATAATGATATATGTATGTATGTACATTATCTCTGTATATAACTCCTGGAGAGAGATGGATAGATAAGCAAAAAATATGTATGTATGTATCATTTTATATTGGACAATTGTTGCAAGTTGAAGTGTTAGTTAGGGAACACTTTCTCTAACCTAACAATAAGCTTTTCTATTAAATTTTTACTAATTCGTTATTAGTTTTTGATCAGACCTATTAATTAAGGAATAATGCAATTAATGTTTTTAGGTGATCGATTTATTGGCACCGTATGTTAAAGGCGGTAAAATAGGTCTATTTGGCGGGGCTGGAGTAGGAAAAACGGTTTTGATTATGGAATTAATTAACAATATAGCTAAAGCACATGGCGGATATTCTGTATTTGTGGGTGCGGGAGAACGTACTCGCGAAGGCAATGATTTGTATATGGAAATGATTGAGTCCAAAGTTATTTCATTAGAGGATGACAAATCAAAAGTTGCTTTAGTCTATGGTCAAATGAATGAACCACCTGGTGCTAGATCACGCGTAGTTCTGACAGGTCTTACTATTGCCGAATATTTTCGAGATATGGAAGGACAAGATGTTTTGTTATTTATTGATAATATTTTTCGTTTTACTCAAGCCGGCTCAGAAGTATCGGCGTTATTGGGTCGCATACCATCGGCCGTGGGATATCAACCCACATTGGGAACTGATATGGGTAGGAATATCGTTTCTTACTTAGAGGTATACATTTTAAAATATTTCTATAAAGGAACTATGCAAGAACGAATCACAAGTACTAAAAACGGCTCAATCACCTCAGTGCAGGCTGTTTATGTCCCAGCTGACGATCTAACAGATCCGGCTCCAGCTGCAACATTTTCTCACTTAGATGCAACCACAGTATTGTCTAGACCAATAGCAGAATTGGGCATATACCCTGCAGTAGATCCTCTAGATTCGTCATCTCGTATTATGGATCCTATGATTGTAGGCGAAGAACATTATAATGTTGCACGCTCCGTCCAAAAAACATTACAAAACTACAAATCTTTACAGGTAAATCACAAATTCGTTGTAATAGTCAAATGTATTTATGTATCGAATGTATTATCAAATATATAGGATATCATAGCCATTTTAGGCATGGATGAACTTTCGGAAGAAGACAAACTCACTGTCGCCCGAGCCCGTAAAATGCAACGTTTTCTATCACAACCTTTTCAAGTGGCTGAAGTTTTTACGGGACATGCTGGCAAAATGGTCCCGGTAAGTAAAACCATTGAAGGATTTAAACGGTTATTAAATGGTGATATGGACGACATGCCAGAAATAGCCTTTTATATGGTAGGAGATATTGATGAAGCAATTTCTAAGGCTAAAGATTTAGCTGCAAAATTAAAAATTTAAGTTTTATTAAATTAATTATCATTGGTTTTTATATATCGTCACCTTAAACGCAAAAAGGAGTAACAACACTTCAAAATTTTACAGGAAAGATAAAAAACTAAATAAAATGAAATCTGTTGTCGTTACAAAAAATTAAATTGTCTTACATGTATTATATTCTAACATTAATAAACAAGTTTGAATATATGTAAGTGTGCCGCCAGACACTGTCTATAATGTTGCTTTTTGGGACTATCTGGCTTGTGGAAATGACTAATTTGTTGTTACGCACTTTCATGTAAATAAAGTCGGTGGCTTTGACAATAAAGTTCCAAACATTTGCGGTAACATGTATTTTGAAAAATAATTTTTTTTTGCTGTTACCCCATTTTGCATGTCAGGTGACGATGTGTATGTTGTGTGTTAATTTTATTTAATTTTTGCTTCATTATTTAATGTCTAACTTTTAAAAGCATTGACTTGTTTTTTTCGCATTATTTTAGTATTGCAAATAATAAACGTTTGTTAAATTTTTGTATATCCGCTTTTTACTTAATTAGATTAACACCATCTGTTGTTTAACGCTATTATGATTCTATTTTATGCAGTATTACCAGATGTAGGGCAGAATTTAGGACTACAATTATTATTTTGGGTCAGATTTCGTGTTAAGGAATTACAATTTGTTGATTTTTATTAAACTTTTCTTTGTTTTTGATAAGTAAGATAAAAGTTTCTTATATTGTTAATGTATTAATATTTCGGAATTCCACAGGGTGTATACATGATGTGACCAGATGATTTTTGAATAAAAGCATAATTAACAAGTAAGAGTGCTATATTCGGCTGTGCCGAATCTTATAGGTATACCCTTCACCACAGTGTATTTGAAAAAATTCAATTCTATAAAATTTTAAATTTATTTCATTTTCCCGTTTAAATCATTATTATGGCAATAGCAAAACGAACAACAACAAAGCTAAACGAAATAAACACTCAAAAAACAAAATACACAAGGCAGTAAAACCAACAGACATCCAAACATACGAAACGAAATACACAAAAAACAAAAACAAAATACACAACGCAATGAAACCAACAGACATCAAACATATGAAACTGTACACCAACAAACAAAAACAATATACACAAGGCAATGAAACACACAGCCATCCAAACATACAAAATTGAATACACCAAGAAACAAAAACAATACACACAAGGTAATGAAACACACAGCCACCCAAACATACGAAACTGAATACACCAAGAAACAAAAACAATATACACATGCCAATGAAACACACAGTGTTGTTGTTGTTGCTTATTAATCAAAGTATGAAAAAAATTTTATTTTTTTTTTTTGAAATTTTCAGAGGTTGTCTCGGATTTTTGCTTATATTTCCGTCATTTTTGGACCGATTTTGCTGATTTTAAATAGCGATCTTCTCGAAAGCATGTCTAACAGAATTATTGAAGACTCGGATCTCGCCGATATCTGGGGTCCTCTAAAAACAGATTTCAACAGACAGACATGGCTTAATCGACTCCGCTATCTATAAGGATCCAGAATATATATACTTTATAGGGTCGGAAAATTATATTATAGAAATTACAAACGGAATGACAAACTTATATATACCCTTCTCACGAAGGTGAAGGGTATAAAAAAGGAGGATTTTGAAAATTGTCATATAAAAAATCGGTATTTTACAAAACTTAATGAACGAAGTAACACTGCTTTATTTATATCTTAAATTAAAGCTTAATTTCTCGAGTTTATAAAAAACCGACTTTGAGAAACCGGATTTACAGTTAACCAAAAATGGGCTATTTCAATAAAACCGGTTTGTCGGTTAACCGAAATATATCGTCATATGAAATCCAAAAAGCCTTAAGTTACCAAAAAATCAAAATCGACTTTTTGATTGATTATGATGCACCGTATCAATATACAGTGTCTCTCATAAGTATTCGAATTTAATATATTATGAAAACAGACATCATTTTATAATAGATTTTGTGGGAAAAATAAATAAATAAATTTATTATGTTGTCCAGACAGTCCTTAAATTTTATACCACATTTTAAAAATTAAAAAAAAAATAATTTACTTAAACTAATTTAACTTTTTTTAAAAAAAGTGCAAAAAATAGCTTCACAAAAGTATTCGAATTTTTTGTATAAATCATATTTAGATTAGCATTATGAAGTAAAAATAAATAATTAAAATGAAATTAGTGTTTTGTATAGTAGCCTTTATTTTTAAAAACAACTTCCTAGAGTCGTGGGACCGTTTCTACCAATTTATGGAATAGTTCTGGCGTTATTATGTCCCATTCTTCATGCAAAGCAACCGTATGGTGGTTTTAGAGGATAATGAGTGATTTAAAAATTGTTCTTGTAAATATAACCACAAATTTTCAATGGAGTTTAAGTCCAGACATTAACTCCATTGAAAATTTGATGAAAGAAGATACTTAGTGTTGTAAATGATCAACATTTTCACGTACCAGGTCGTGTATTTTGGATCGTTTTTCTGTTGAAAAATAAATTGAATGGGTTGTAGTCCCATTTTGGTGGTACTAGCATGCAAATTCTGCTCTAAAATTGACAAGTGGACCTTCTAGTCTATAATTACAATAATAATTTTTTGCAGCCCAACACCGTGGACGGACACAGAACCTCAAAATATGGCAGATAAACTTGGGTCCTTTACAGTTCGTTTTAAGTTAGATAATTCCAAGGCATCTCCAAGCTTTCGCCATATCATTTGACGACCATCTGAGCCAAAAATATTATATTTGTTCTAATCGTCGAAGATAAACTCCTTCCAGAATCCAATATTCTTACTTATGAGCCTATTTGCGGACACTTAACATCGATTAACTTCGATATGAGCGATTTCCACCTTGGTACTTGACCATGCAAATTATTGCTCCCTAGTACTTTGCGCACAATTTCGACATTAATTTTTATTCACAGGACTGTCCTGAGTTCGTTGTTAATTTTTGGAGCTGATAGATGAAGGTTCCTTCGGTATTTCCTCAGTATTTCTCTGTCGTCCTGTATTGACAGCAGTTTTGGATGACTTGATAATGGTAAATACTCGATGGAATTATTTGTTCCATGCGTCTAAAGACAAAATATATTGTCGATGGGAATCTATCAAACATTCCCTATATGTATTTAATTGATCGGCCTTGATTATACAGATATAAATTAATTTTTTAATTTGAATTGATCAACTCTTTTTCTTTGAACATTTTAAGCGCTTACACAGGAAGGATTTACAACATAATTATGCAAATTTCCAAAAAATATAATGTTAAATATTCCATATAACCACTACCTGCATAATGGGTTAATTAATGGGCAATAAAACACGTGTTCAAGGATTCTAAAAAAGTTCTTAGAAAAAATTCGAATATTTTTGCGCAGTACCTGAAATGACCCTTTTTGGGTTTTTTCCATTTTCTTGGAAACCATTAATGAGTTTTTATTACTTCTTTCTTGTATTTCGTAAAAATATTATAAATTAATAAAAGTCCATTAAAAAATTTTAAATACCATTATTATTTTTAAAGTAGCATCATAAAATAACACAGTATTTCATAAAAAATAATAAATTCGAATATTTATGTGAGACACTGTACATGTTCCTGCTAAATTTTACACTCCAATTAAAATAAACGTCCCTATCAAAGAAATTCTAAAGGTTTTGTTCTAGAATGTTATTAGTTGGCATCAAATGAAACAAAAATGACACTTTTGGCGAATCCATGTAATTTAGAGATTATTTTATCAGTTTTAGAATTTTTTCAAAGAAAAATTCCAATTTCCTAAAATCTTTATGAAAACAAAGAAGCCTTATGCCTTCCATGTTTCGGCCTATTTGACCAACAAAAACCGATTTGAATTTAGTTGAAAATGTTAAAACTTACTATTTTTTAATGTAACTTAGGCCCTTTTGGGTTTCAGAAAAAACAAATTCTCAAGGGCATATCTCCGTAAGTAAAACAAAAACCGCAAATTTTTCTTCAAATAATAATTTGTCAATAAGAAATAAGCTTAACTTGAGAAAATGTTGAACATTTTTGGTTTATTTATCATTTTAGACAATTTTTTGCTTCTCCTGAAAAATTTGTTCAATGTGACTTAGGACTTTTTGGATTTCATATGACGATATGGACATTTTTAAAATATGCTACTATTTTGTAGAAAAAGGACTTTTTGCGAAAGATTCAGAATTAATAAATTATTTGCACTTTTCATCGTATGTAGATTTATAATAAGAAAGAAAATAAAATATAGAATTTATCATAGGAAGAATTGGAATATACAATTCAATCTGTATCAGTAAAATGCATATGTCCAGGATTAATTATAAATAGTTAAAATTACATTTTTTAATAATTTCCTGATTTCAATGTTTTAATTTTCTCTAATATAACATTTTATTATAAACTATTTTATATCTGCATTTAATACACATAAAATATTTTTAACATTTGTGCAACAAGTTTGACCCATATTCATAAACACGAACGGAAAATGATATCGTCACTTGAAATGCAAAAAGGCATAACAACCAAAAAATTTAAAATCGACTTTTTGATTGAAAATGGTCCACTGCATAAAAATACATGCTGTTGCAAATTCTAGAACCCTATTGTCAAAAATACCGTCTTTATTGAAATTAAATTCAAAAGGGCTTAATAACAAATTAGTCATTTCCACAAGTAAGAAAGTCCAAAAAAGCAACATCATAGACATTGTCTGGCGGTACAGTTGTATTCAAACGTGTTTATTGATGTTGGGATACAATACTTGTATGGGCAGTGTCACACGTTCAATATATATCGTGATATTTGCTGTATTGTGATATGTAGCATGTAATCACAGGGTATACAGAGGCGTCACGAGCAAAAAACTATTTCCCTCTCTTTCGCACAAAACGAATTCAATAATTTTTATACCCTACACCACTTTAGTGGGGAGGGTATATTGGATTTGTGCTGATGTTTGTAACATACAAAAATATTCATCCTAGACCCACCTTAAAGTATACCAATCGGCTTAGAATCGTTTTTCTGAGTCGATTAAGCTATGTCCGTCCGTCCGTCTGGCTGGCTGTCCATGTAAACCTTGTGCGCAAGGTACAGGTCGCAATTTTCAAGATAATTGGATGAAATTTGGCACGCACGTTTTATTTGACCCAAGGACGAAGCCTATTGAAAATGGTTAAAATCGGTCCATTATTTCACCTAGCCCCCATACAACAGAACCCCCCGAAAAGGGCTTCTGAGCTCATAATTATGTTAAATATACAGATATATCGATAAAATACGGCACAACTAAGTTTTATAGAAGTCTTGATGACCCTGCCAAATTTCATAAAGATCGGGCCACATCGGGCTCCCATACAAAGTCCCCTTCAGAAAGTTACTTGAATGTCCCAAATTAACTTATAAACACAAATATCGCGATGAAATTCAGCACAATAAAATATTATGTCAATATAAATATATTCACAAAATTTTATCGGGCTTGGTCCATATTTGCCCCTAGCCCCCATATAAAGCCTCTTTCAGAAAATTAGTTTTTCATCCATAAATTGCTTAAATGTATCGGAACAAGGGAATATTGAAGATAAATGCTTTATTATGAAAAATAAATCACATTTAATATTCATAACTGGTGTAGGGTATCATATGGTCGGCCACGCCCGACTATAATTTCTTACTTGTTTTTAGCTGTATTTTATATACCTCTTGTCACCAAACAATTTCAAAATCAAACAAAAGCTGATTTTAGACTTTTTTAAATGTCAAAAGTGACACTTTGTGATGTAATATTGACGGATCGTGTTCCATATCACAGAAAACCCCAATTTTCTGAAATCCAAAATTCATATCAATATTTATAATGAATCACGTGATAAACATTGTATTTATAAAAAAATCTTATTTTGCTTTTAATGCACTCAATAGTTAAAGCACACTTTAGCATTAAAAACCATTAATAAAATTGTGATATTCATAAACAAATAATAAACGTATATTAACTATTGTGCTGATTTATGTTTAAGTTGGCAGCACTGTACAATATGGCTGTCATTTTATGTGTTAGTGTTGCGTACAATTAGGATAAAATATTCGTTGATTCGGTTTTCTTAATTTCATATTTTTGTTTATAATAGATTTTTGACAATAAAAATAAACTTTTAAGAAAAATAAATATATATATGGCTTTAATAAATGTCTATTTAGTTCAGATGTATAAATATAACATATAATTTCTAATTATTATTAAAAGTATCCGAATAACGGATATTTTGCGACAAAATATACATCACTATGAAACATTTTCTTATTTTTACTTATTTTCCTTGTAATTTTTGATAAATTTTTGCAAATATTGATAAATTTCTTTGATATTTGACTAATTTTAATGCCGGCGAATATATTTTGCATTAGTATAACACTAATCAATATAATTTACATGGTTAATTACTTTATGGCATTATATTTAACCAACAAACTTTGAAAAAGCCAAATCAAATGATTTTGTCCATCATTTGGTTGACAGACGGGCACTTCCAAATTGCCTAAAAATAGTGCTGGACAATTGGAATATTGTCAAATATTCATGCATTAATCCAATAATGCCTAGATTTGAGTTTTTTCCTCAAAATATAATTAGTTTAAAAATTTTCTGGGATTTTATTTACAAATTTGTAAACGTTAAAATTAGAATTTTTAGATTTTATTTTAAAAGAAACCATAATTAGTTTTCGCAATCAACCTAAAATTACCGGAAAAATCTTTATCTGAGAAAAAAATTGTTAAAAATCAACTTATTGTTGGCTTAAAGAAGGGTCGAGCCTACAATAAAATTCATCTAATTGTCAATGGTTTATTGAAGGTGTTTTAAGCTATTTCACGTTTATAAATACGATTTTCCTGAATTTTGCCTAAAATTGTTTAATAAACCTAAAATAAGTTTTTATAAATACAGCCGTGAATGTGTAGCATGTTTTGTGATATCAATCACGATACATTTTTAAAATTTGGAAAAAAAGTAAAATAAAGCAAATAAAAATGAAATATTGTTTTAAAAATTGTTAAAAAATATAAAAGAAAATTACTTTTTTCAAAATTTTTGTTATTTCGGTATTTTCGCGGTATTCGTTTAATCATCCACCGACTCGTATACCATAAAATATAGCAAATACTGAAGAAAAAAATATTGAACGTGTAGCATACCCGAGTTATTCATCAGTATATTAAAATGGGTCTTGATCCATATTGATCAATATATATTGAACGTGTGCCAGTGCCCTAAGAAAATGTCTTTTTATAACAAAAATAGCTTTCATTTTATTTAGTAATTTTTTTAAAAATGTTGTTACAAAAAATTTCATTTATGTAATGTAAAGACATTTTTAAATATATTTTCCATATTACTGACTATTAAAAATGGATCTTTGTTCTGTGGACAACTGGTCATTTATTTAAAATCATTTTTCTTGTTTTCTATTAAAAATGGATCTTTGTTCTGTGGACAACTTGTTACGAACCGGTTGTAAGGCGAGGTTTCCGACTAACTGGCATGACTGACCTCAGGAGGTTCCAACCCTTTCTCGCCAAACTCGTATTCTACACAAAACAAAAAGGTATTCAAATCACAAACAAAACTTACATAATCTGAACCACATTAATCACATTTCCTTTACAGAGATAGATGTTGTCCTCTGTATCTGCCCTCCCAACCTTGTCGCTGATGGATCCACAGAATTTTCTTTCCAGCGACCCGAAACCCACCTGACCTTTTAACCACTTACCGGTCTATCATCGCCATTACCTTTACTTAATTAGACCAACATTGTAAGTATTAATTTCAATTCATAATATACATTTTTATTAGATAATAAAATAAACTTAATATACAACTTAAATCTAAACACATACAAAAACCTAATAATTTGACCGAATCACTGTATTTCTTATTAATTTTTTCAATAATTTTTTTAACCTTTTACCGCATAAACTCTTTCACTATATATATCTTATATTTTCAATTTTTTTCTGCTTCAGGGCTTAAGTTTCTACTTCCTTAATTCGGATTCTGACGTTTCTATAGTATACAACTAAAGGAGCTCCCTGAGTCATATGTTGACCTTGACACTTTCAAAAGGCTTCTTTTTAGGCGCTCTTCTTAAGCTCTGGTAAATAATCCTAAGATATATATATGTACTCTCTTTCTAATTCTTGATTTTCTTTTTCTTTTCAATTTAACGCGAGCTTCACGTGATTCAACCAAACATACACAGAACTACTGGACGTTATTACGATTTACAATATTATTTTTCACGATTCCACAAATACCTTAACGTATCTTAAATCTACCTAATTTCTTTTTCTCTTATTTAAAAAAAAACTATTTCTGGACTCTTTATATTTTAATAGTTGGTTCTAAATCTCTTGTTTGTTTGTAACTGGCCTTCTATATGACAAGTTTAAAATTTCTTTCATATAATAATGTGATAATACTTAAGGAAGATTTTATATGACTTTTATGTTGGTTAAATTAAGTGAGCTACATATATAATTGTTATTATTCCATACACTAAATACGTTTTTAATACTTATTTAAATATAAAAATGTAATTCCTTTTTTTTTTTATAATTATCAAGGCATTTCCGTTTTAATTGGATTGATTGGTTGGTAGTTTTTTTTTTTTTTTTTTTGTTATTGCAGTTTTCTTGACTTTACTGCCTTATTCCGCAAATTATTTAAAAGGAATAAATAAAAATTGTTACCTGGCTAATTACTTGGATGGCAGACTTTCCAGTATTGCGTGACTTCCTTCTTGTAAATTAGCCAGCTATAAAGGATTAACAAAATCATTTTTACTCCTATACACTATGCTATATTTCTATAAAAACTTACGTTTTTATTATTGTCGTTCAAATACGTTTATAATTATTTGATCCTCCAGGATTATTTTAAGGACATTAAATTTACCGATTTATAATTCACTAAATCTCAGACTACAGTCCATTTCTTTTTCCTTATTTTCAAAAAAAAACTTTCTTCCTTTTTTTTTTTTAAACTTTTTTAAATTTACTTTTTCTTAAAACACTTTTGCACACTCACTTAACTTTTTTTAACCAACTGTGCTATTTTCATTTTTATCGTGAGCTTAAATACTCTATTTTTGTCTTCCCCTACTTTTATGTAAATATAATTTCCCGCAAATTTCATTCTCCTAAAATTCTGCTACATAAGGTATTTATTTACATATTTCCCCTACTCATCATGTCGTAGCCTTTTTCTGTCCGCCGATCATGTAAACCGCGCTATTTTTATTACTACATATAATTAACTACATATATATAATTAATTTCGTTTCTATTTATTTTTATATTTGGCGGATTTTTCCTACTTGGCGGACTTTTCTTACTTATTTGCACGGCCAAATAAGTAATTCAAGCTTAAACTCCCCCAATCAAGGCGCTTTCCCTCTTTTCCATGCATTTCTACCGCCTTGTGTACTAGGAGCTCATAATTTTTAGCAATAGTATTTTCATTCAATTATTTTTAATTTTTTTACTACAAAAAAAAATACACATTCCCATGTCTGCATGAATGAAATACACCCCTACACTTTTACGATATACGTTGCGTTGCCAATACTTTTACTACTTTTGACATTTGAGCAACCCTGTTTTCATTAATTCTGACAACAGCTGGACGGACAAGCACATGGAGGTAAGTATTTTGGCAATTTTTTTATTTTTAATTTGTATTTTTCATTTCTTTTCAGCTTAAAAATAAAAGGAGTACTCATGGGACAGGTAAAGTAAATTGTATCGTTCCTGATTATTGTGGGTTTTTATTAATACTTTTATTTTTTTCTTTCCAGCCTATCAATAAACAACATATCCCAGCAAAAAAATAATTGATGTCATACTTTACAAACGACATCTTAATCACATCCAAAAATGCGACTACATATTTTTCGCTTTTATAAACCAAATATTTCCTTACAAATGAAAACCCAGTTAAAAGTGAGAAAAGAGATGTAGAAAAGCCACTACAAATAACATACTCGAAGTACATCAAACTTTGGTGAAAAACCAATGAACCCTATGTCATTGAAAAAATTTTGGATTATTTTTGACATCCAAATATCGGATTTTTTTTGCTTCTAAAATAAAATTAGAGGTAGTTCAAAGTTGTCAAAAATGAACAACATCCCTCCAATGACATGCCAATGCAAAATTCATAGGCTCTTCACCTGAACTTGAAGCACTTCGGGTTACAGTTGTGATGAAAATACAACATCTCCTTCCACACTTTTTTCTGGGATATAATGGCAGCAACAAAAATACAAACGAAAATCACAACTTAAAAACAAAACTAATAAACTAACATACTAACAAAAAAAACCAGAAAAACCAAACAAAACTAACAAAATTAACCACAATACTAACATGAAAACAAATTGAACACTGGGACTCGGGCAGGAGGTAGTGTCTCCATTGGCCGAAAGCCCCTCCCCATTGATTTCAAAACAGGGAGTAGAGGCAATTTTGATTTTCTGGCCTCCTCCCGACCGTTTCCCTAAGGTCCCCCCACGCAAAATTTTTTTTTTTTTTTTTGGGGTGGCCAGAGGATAAAACCCTCGGTGCGGTGAGGTATACCGCAACAAAACTCCGAGGTTGCTGTTGTCAAAGCAGAAGGATCGGTGTGCGGTTATATACCGAACAAGCCCAACGCGGGGAACACCCTTGACCCTGAAGAAGAGTCTCCTAATGAAGAGTTAGCCGGGCAATCAATATGGTAAGTAGAAATACTATACTTTAAGAGTATTTTTTTTATTAATTTTCATTTATTTTCAGGAAACCTTGCAATATGGACTTCTGGTCTTTTGATAAAGAATTGGTGTTGCTGAAATAACTTGAGGTAACTATGACGGTACTAGGCAAGAGCTCTCTTCCAACTTTTTTTCTTGTTTAGAGAAAGAAAATTGTAGAGGCAAACCCATTGGGATTAAAATAAACTTATTTCTTGTTACTGGATCATTTCCAGTAGTGCACAACAGGGTGCTAAATTAAAACGAGCGCCTACAAAAAGGATTTTTGAGGCAAAAGAAAATCTTAGCTTACATTAGCTGTGTCAAATCAATAGCTTCGGGTTACGCCTCTATAATCTTTCTTTACATAAGATGAAGTTGCCTAGTATTCGTCATACATCTCTTCAAACCTTTTAAGAAGAAAGGATTGAGAGACGTTTTAACTCTCGATTTATCCCGAACACCACTTTACGGGAAGTATAAACTGTGAAACAATTTGTATTTTTAAGAATTCTTACTTTGTGATTTCTTTCTTTTCAGATTTAACTTAAACTTATTGGACTGGCACAACATAAAGGAATATTGCACTTGCCCTAAAATCTAAAATAAAAATCGGAAAAGTCAATGAAATTTTTACTATTAAACTAAATTGGATCACAGATTGGGTTGATATATTGCGGTTTCCCTATTTATTGCACAAAGTCTTGGTGAGTTAAACCTTCATTTGTCAATTTATTACTCTTAAAACTATCAGGTACTTATGTAGAAATATATCACAGATATCTTATTTATTTGTCAGTCAATCTTAGGATCTAAAAAGCAAAGTAATAATTGTGTTTTGTAATATTTAGTTAAATTGTTTGTATGTATAATTGATCTTTGCTTATGTCCTAATATTGCACTTTTTCTCTTTGGTTAATTTTCTTATACTTTGATATCTTTTACATGATATATACCTAGTGTTTTCCCTTGTAGCGTTTCTAATTCATACATATTGTTACCGACAGGTCGGACGACTCTACATTTCAAAAATTTTCTACAAAATTTCGCGTTTCGGTTCTGCGCAAAGTCGCTTAAGACAGTGTTTCGACGATAGACTTCTTGGCCTGGGACGAAAGTAACCACTCGAGCTCTTTGATTGTATCTTTTCGCACTTTTTTCGTAGGCTTTTTGTAGGTTTATTTTAATTTGTTGTCTAATGATTTCCAACTTGTCGTTTCGATCCACCTCTAGTATTTGATGATCAGTTAGGGATTCTAATTTTCGGCTAAGTTTATATTCTGCTCCACTAGAAAACATATGGTATCCGAAAAGAGCGAAGAAGGGTGTAAAGCCAGTAGCGGAGTGGACAGCGGTTCTCAGTGAACATTCTATCTCAGATAGGTATAGGTCCCAATCTCTGTGGTCGTCTTTTAGATACGCTCTTATTGCTGACAAAACGGATTGGTTGACTCTTTCGCTAGCGTTGCTTTGTGGCGAGTATACTGCAGTTTTTATATGATGGATTTTGTATGTTTTTATTAAATTTTCAAAGCTTTTTGAAATAAATTGTGCACCGTTGTCACTGTGGATGATTTCGGGAACTCCGAACTTATGGAAAATCTCATGTACTAGGAATTCCACGACATTATTTGCAGACGCTTCTTTCATTGCTTTTAGGAAAGTAAATTTCGTAAAGTGATCTACCACGATAAAAATATAACAATTTCCATTTTTGGACCTTGGGTATTTTCCCATAAAGTCAATGTATAACTTTTGAAATGGCCTTTCTGTAATTACGGGTTTTCCGATTTCGGGCATAAGGTTTTGGTTGGTTGGCTTTATTTCTTTACAGGTTTGACAATTTTTTATAAACATTTTGACCTGAAAAGCCATCTTGGGCCAGTAGAAAAATCTTTTCAATCTTTCCAGTGTTTTGGCTACACCACCGTGTGTTGTTGTTAGTGTTGCGTGTGCTTTTTCTATCAGAGGCTGGGTTATGTTTGATGGTATCCACATCTTCCACTTATATTCATCGTCTCCTTGTTCGAAGGACATTTTTTTATAAACTTTACCATCGTCAACTTTTAGATCTGGGAGTTGATTTCTATTTTCTTGGACGTGTTTTACCAGATCCAAGTATTCTTCACTCTCAAATTCAGCTGTTTCGAAATCGAATATTTCCTCCATTTTGAGCTCTTCGACGTGTTCATGATCTGGTAACCTGGATAGCATGTCGGCTACAACGTTTTCCGATCCTTTCCTGTGCATTATTTCGAAATCGAACGCTTGGAGCTGAAGAGACCAGCGGGCTAATCTACCAGTTAAGTCCTTGAGTGACATTAACCATTTCAGGCTCGCGTGATCAGTCACTATAGTAAACGGCATCATTTCAACATATGGCCGGAACTTTTTGACGGCCATCACCGCTGCTAGGCATTCCTTCTCTGTCACACTATAATTTTTTTGACAGTTGTTCAGTTTTTGTGAGAAGAATGCTATTGGATGTTCTTCCTCATTACCATTGAGCTGATACAACACAGCACCAATTCCATAATCACTAGCGTCGCATTGAATGTAAAACCGCTTAGAGAAATCGGCATGTCGTAAGACAGGAGCGGATGTTAGAGCCTTTTTCAAATCCTCGAAAGATTGAATTGCTTCTGGAGTCATTTGAAACTTTGGACTCTTTTTTAGGGTATCCGTTAAGGGAGCTGATATGGTTGAGAAATCCTTTATAAATCGGCGATACCAGCCGGCGGTGCCTAAAAAGCTACGAACATCTCTTGCGGATTTCGGGATCGGGATTTCTCGGATGACTTTCACCTTTTCGGGATCTGTTCTTAACATTCCACTGCCTATTATAAAGCCAAGGTACTTCAAAGTTTTGAAACAAAATTGTGATTTTTTAAGGCCTATTGTTAGGTTTGCGTTTTCGAGGCAATGAGCAACTTCTTTTAATAGTTCTAGATGTTTTTGGAAACTATCGGAAATGACTAGGAGGTCGTCCAAGTAGACGAAGACGTTATCTTTAAGCCTTTGTGGAATTACTTTGTCCATTAGGCGACAAAGTCTTTGCGCCGCGTTGCAGAGACCGAACGGCATTACACGAAATTGGTAGAGCGGCCGACCTGCTACGGTAAAAGCGGTGTATGGCTTACTCTCTTCTTCTAGCTCAATTTGCCAAAAGGCAAATTTTAAGTCCACACTACTAATAAAATAGGTCTCGTCAATTCGGCTAAGGATACCATCTATGTTTTGCAAGGGATAAGCATCCTTGACGGTAAGCTTATTTAGTTTCCTCGCGTCTAAACAAAACCTATTCTTTCCCGGTTTTCTCACTATTGTTGTCCTATTGCTCCAGGGACTTTCGCTTTCTTCGATTACTCTTAAAGCTAACATTTGGTCAATTTCTTTGTAGACGATTTCCTGAACCGCTGGAGATATTGGGTAATGTCTATCTTTTACTGGTTCTACACCGTCTATTAGTTTAATAGAGTGTTTTTCTAAACACGTGCATCCTAAACCTAGTTTCTCAAATGTAGGAAACATATCAACTACTTCTGAGAGTTGTTTTTGTTCCAATTCATTTAGTTCATGTGGATCGGTTTTGTGATTTTCGGTTTTGAAGGTTTCAATAACTTTTTCTATGTTCAATTCATCAACACCGACGATTTCAGGAGCGAGTTGGAAGATTTTCCAAAAATCGATCCCCAAATACGCTGGTTGTTCTAAATCTGGACATAGATAAAGAGTTATTCTACCTATCCTATCACTATATTTAACGTCTACTATTATTTTACCTAATAATCTTTGTTTTTGTCCACTAGCTGTTGTTATCACGGAGTATATGGGTATTATTGGAATCTCTAATTCGCTAACAAGTTCTCGACAACCTTTCCCTAAAATGCTAACTGAAGCGCCA